CTTTGACAGCACGGGAGCCGCTTTTAGCAGCTTCTTATATTTTCAATCTCTCATTGTAAAATCTGTATGTCTAGCCAAGCACTCCCTCTTTGCAACTCCTTTGGAATATCACGTAATCTGTACGATTACAGGTCTGCTAAGTTTCTTAAGCAGTGTCATAACATCAAAAGCAAAATCATTCAAATTTCAAAAGCAAAGTGAATTTTTTCAGGGATGAAAATTTAGTCAATTTCAACCTTAAGTTTTACCTTATCTTGTTTATAGCTCCAAAATATTATTTTTTATACAAGTAATATGCCTCTATACAAAATAACTTTCTCTTTTCAACAATGCCACAACTGTGACTGTAACAATGGTAACCAGGTAAAACACATTCTCAAAATATCTCTTCCACTTTTCCGCAGTAATGAAAACTTTTTCGTAAGCTCTTCTCAACAGCGCGCTCTAGTGACACAATTTCAAATTGTAACGTGCTCCAGATAACCCAGAAGCGTTTGTTTTTAACTTTTGCCTAAAGACTTATCTCGACCTACGATTAAACAGTGACTCAAGTTAACACCAATAGGTATATTTAGGTTAAGTGACGTCTTACCACCCGGTAAAAAAATTCTTATGGGAGACTATTATAAACATGGCTGAAAAAAATCGTGTTTTTTTAACCTAATAAAGACCAGCAATGTGTTCTAAAGCATGCCTTGACTCATAATCATCTGTTATAAAGTTATGCCTGCAGCAAAATCAGTTCAAAGGGGACTGACGGTATTTCTGAAATGTCTTTATGCATAAACCTAAGTTGTTATGCCACATGCTGCATAATTCAGTTATTGTATTCTTCATAGCAAACCAGTTTAATAAGTTGAAAATTTCAATTGTGTTTAATTTCTTGTAGCAAAGTATTAGTGTATGTGAAAACTACTGTCTAGAACTGTGACACTCACCTCATTGAAATAGATATCACTTTAATTGTTCGCTTCACATTTATGTACAAAGTTACACAAGGAGTATCTGCGCTAGCCGTCCCTATTTTCAAATTGATAAACTACAGGGAAGGCAGGTTGTAGTACTCACAGCCACCTCTTGCCTGACTGAACAGTGGGTTTTTGCATCTATTCTTATAACGTATACACGCCTCCAAGGTACAGATTCTTTGGATTTACAGTCCGGGCATGCTAACAAGTAGGCTACACCAGTCTCGAAATAACTTGCAGAGCGTATAATATACTGAAAACTCCGTGAGCTTTGTGAACATTTACTTACAAGGCAGTGGTTTTATATACGATCGTATCAGGTTAAAACTTTTTAAGGGTCTTTTTTTTAATAATTCAGAATGGCAAGAATAAAATCATGTTTCAAAAATTGCAACAAAACTGGCATCGTTTTCAAATCATTATTTCGTTAACAGTTAACGTGGATTTAGTTAGTATTATCGAATACGTATGTTACATCTAGCGATAAATGGATTTATTTCTTTTTCCAAGTCATTACAAAGCCTTAAACTTTGATCAGAATAGCAAAACAAAAATAAGTCTTATAATAATAATAATTAAATTAAATATTCAGAAAATTTCGTGAATAATTTTAAATGATGATAATATCATATCCATTAAATGCATGTCACAAAAGGATAAAATATTACATAACTTTTAGAATAGTTTTAGAAAAATGCTCTTTCAGTTCAAAACTATATCTTTCTCAAACGAATAATATAATATAATTGTTGTTGAAATTAATGAAAGTTTGCTGTTAATCCTCGAGTTCCTCATGTGATGTAGAAAAATAAAATGGTGTTAGTTTTCATGGATACAGTTTTGGTTTTGTTTGTTTATAATAGACGCAATTTACTATAACATTTAGCTGATATACATGTAACATTTCGTGATCGTTTTCTGGTGTAGTTATGACCAGAACGACACAAATATCAATAACTGAAATTCATGCAATTATAGGCCAAAATCAAAATATACACCTGGAAAAAAGTTAAGCACCCCCAAATATTTTTCAGGATTGCTTATTGAAAATAAGGTTTAATTTTCATGATGTTGAGCAATG